CTTCTACTTTTCTCCCCTTGTCTCCCATGGCCATTTCCTACTTTTACCTCTCTTGCACTTTCTCTGTTCTTCATTCTCAACAGACAATAATCCTTCCTTCCAATTAATCAAGAGAAACAGACATATTATTCTCTCAACGATTTGTTTCTGTATGTTTTAAGTTTTTAGATATACTTAATCTTAGGAGTAAATGATATATTTAAATGGTGCAAAATATAAAAGCTATAAAACAGTAAATTATTTTTATCTGTATATAAGCTTCCTCTATGCTAGTATTCATGTCTCCCTGGCTGTCATTGTTTATCGTATCTAAACAGGTTGACTCTCTCCATAGTTAATCACCACTCATCACTATATCAATATATTTACAATCATCAATATTTACAAACATCAATATAATTACAAACATATAATTAGTTGCTTGTTTGCCATTGATCTCTGTCATACTTTCAGCTCCATAAGTTAAGGATCAAACTCATTCTATGCATTAATGTGAATTATGCTTTTTAACAGATTCTAAGTTATAGATACTGATATTGTATAGTATGGTTTGGATTTGAAATAATTATACAAAACTCTTGTTTTCAAGTTTTTGCCCCTAATATGTAGCTTTCTGGGGGCGGGGGGCAGGGGTGCATTTGGCAGGTGTTTGGATCATGTAGGCTCTCTTGCTATCTATCAATGTATTCATCCACTAATGGATTCATAGTTTAATGGGATATTGAGAACTGGTAGTAACTTTAAAAGGTGGGGGCTACCTAAATGAAAAGGTCAGCAGGTATGTGCCCCCTGAAGGGCTTGAACCCTTTTCTCTTTTTATATCTTTTCTTTCCTCCCTCCTTCTCTCTGCCCCTTCCACACCAAAAGGTAAGTAGATTTGTTCCACTATGTGCTTTATGCCATGATGTCCTCCTCAGCACAGACCTAGAAATAACTGATCACTTAGACTTACCAAACAAAACTTACATTAATCATGATCTTAACATTTTCATCTTTAACTTGGCCTCTTAGTGTTCCCACAAGAATGCTACAGAATAACCTTTTTGTACAGTGTGAAGATGTGTCTTTGCCAAGGTACCTTCTGACCGATTTAAATAAAAGGAAGCTAAGTGGATAATAGTTAGGCAGGAAGAGGTTAGGCCGGAGAGCCAAAGAGGATGCTGGGAAGAAGGGTGGAGTCACAGAGAGTCACCAGCAAGAGGCTGGCGAAGCAGATGAACATCCTGCATTGAAAAAAGGTACTGCTGTGTGATAGAGTGCAGATAAAAACTATGGGTTAATTTAAGATGCTAGTTTAGAGCTAGGTATTAATAAGCCTAAGCTATTGATTGAGCATTTATAGCTAATAGTAAGTCTCTGTGTGGTTATTTGGGAGCTGGCTGGTAGGACAGAACTGACTGGCACGACAGCAAATTTCTGCCTATAGAAGGATGTACAGTTATTACCTCCTGTCTTACGTTTTGGATCTTTCCCATCTGTTATGTTTTATTGTGGCTCCTTAGAGGGATCCTCATCTGAGGCATGCTACCTATGGTCCCTTCTACATCACTCATTTTTGTCAGCTCGGGGTAGTTGAAATCAATGCTCCGAGACCCCCAAAGGCAGTTTGGTTGACCTCTGAAGGGGGAACTAATGAGCCATCCAACTTATCCCTCTTTTTGCCACTTCAGATATTGTTTCCAGGACTCAGAACTAAAACAACCAGACAGCAGCCTTCTTTGTATCAGTTACCCTCTTTGCCCCCAGATCTCAGGAAAAACTAAAGCAATTTCAGGGCAGCTTAACAACCTTCGGGACCAGTTTGATTCCTTGGCTACCGCAGTATTCCAAAATTTATAAAGACTGGATCTGACTGCCAAGGATGGAATGCGTACCCTCCCTTATGAGCAACTGCTGCTTAGGCACAAACAAATCCTAACTGGTTTGAGATGGAGCCCAAAGACACGGGGACCAGACTAAAACAAACACACACACAAAACCATAAACAAAACAAGAACAACTGCAAGTCTCCTCCTATGTAAAGTGTTAGGGTTCCCTCCCACTCTGGCTCCTCCCCTCCACCACTCCTTTCCTTATTAGCCTCATACTCTCATACTCATATTTTTGCCATATTTTAAATGTTTTACTGACTGCACGACCCCCTATATCCAAACAAAAATGTTCCACATAAGCTCTCCCAGTGACTCTCACCCTACAACACTTCCATCTGTCCCTGACACATCTGCAAAGGGCCCTTTTGGATGCCACGGGCAACATCTATGTTTCTCATACACTGATTTACTTCAGTGGCAACTTAAAATCCTTTGGATATACTAAAAAATATACTGTCATCCATTCCCCCAAAAAAGGTGTCCTATTTGAGATCGATATTATTTCAGGTGCCTGGAAATAAAATAAAGCACCAGGAAAAATAGAGAAAAAAAAGGAGACAAGAATACACAGGAGTTTTATTCTAATGGAGGAGGAAGGTAGCAAGCTAAGAATGCATCTTAAGGTATGTTAAATGGTGTCTGTGGTGGTTTGAATGAGAAGGCCCCAAAAGTCTCCCTCATTTGAATGCTTGGTTCCCAATTGGCTGTTTGGGAGGATGAGGAGGAGTTAGTGGAGACAGCCTTTGAGATTTCAAGACTTGGACCATGTCCAGTGTGCTCTCTCAGCTTCCTGCTTGTGGGTCAGGATGTGAACTCTGAGCTGCTGCTCTATCTAATTTGTTTTGTCTGTTGCAGGCTGCCATTCCCACTCTCCTACTGTGCTTGGAGAAAGCTCTTATCTAGATCCCTAAGCTCAACCTTTCCTTGGTTATGGTGTTTTGCCACTGTAATAAAAAAAAGGAAGCAAGGCAGTGTCAGATGTAGTGGCAAGGGGCTGCAACTTTAAAAGGGTTAGTCCTTGTGAAGGGTTAGTTCTCATGGGCCTTCTGAGATCTCGACTAAGGACAGGAATGAGGACACTAGTCAGTGCGGTGCATGCTGGGAAAATGAGTAGAAGGCACAGAATTTGGAGGTGCTTCTGAATGAAGAAAAGAAATAAAAGAGAGACCATGACTGTTCCTCAGGGGCTGAGGAGGTTTATTATAGATACAAGGGAGAGAACATAGCCACAAGCATTGACAGAGATATCTAGGAGGGTCCAGAGTAAACATGGCCAAATTGAGCCCGGCCATTTGAGGAGAGAGGGGCAGGGTGAGCAAGAGAGGAGCTTCCTACCAAAAGTGGTGGTCTGGATTAAGAGACTGGCATAGCCCAAAAGGCTAGGTTATACAGGGGCCAGAGGAGCTAGGGGTGGGAAGCCAAGTAGTTGGGCTGGTACCCAGTACCCAGTGTTCAGGGTAAGGGGGCAGGTACTGGAGGTAGGGACTGAGGGATGCTGGGAAAACCTGGTGGCCAGCATCTGCTTTGATATGTTATTAGGTATCTCAGTATCTTTTGTGATGGGTGCGAGACCTAACCATTTCCACAGACAAACAGCAAGGAGCAGGGGAGATTAGAGATGGGGGATTGATCAGGGCCTTTGAATTGATTATCTTCTGAGTTGAGAGAAGAGACAGTGGAAGTTCCGAGGGGGGTGCAGATATTTCGGTATTCATCCCTAGAGCAGAGTTTTCCTGGACAATAAGGTGTGCAGAGTAAGGACAAAGAAACAAGAAGAGGAGACTCTTTGAAGGGTCGTGAGTCTCCTTGTGCTAGATGCATTCTGCAGGACAATCCACGGAAGTCTGCTGATATAGAGAGGGCAAAGGCGGCACCAGTGTTTTCTGCTTAGGCCAGAAACAGGACGGAGGCAAGACTGTAAAGGCCTAAGTTTGGCCTGGGAGATCAGGTCAGTCTGGAACATGCAAGTAGCAAAAATGTTTAGCATGAAAATAGGAATATAAAAGAAACCTGAGCTCTTTGACATATATCTTGAAGGCTTACTCCCAGGATAGTCTCCCACTTGTGTAGCCTTGGAAAGCCGGAACGGAAAAGTCGATTTTTTTTCTTAAATCTATTTTTTAGATTTAATCTTCTATTTTGGGGGCACTGTGTCCATTACGAAAGCGACTGGAGCTTTCTGGCTCTCTAGGGCTTTGCTTTTTCTGCTCATTTTTTTTTCTTCCAAGCAGTACTGCGCTTGTCCCTCCCTCCACCTGTTGACAAACTGTCTGACAGCTTTCTCTACTCCCCACCGCAAGCAAGCGAGACATCAGCGGACCGGCGCGCAAAGGCTGTGGGGCTTCCCACGCCTGTGTGGGGTGCACCCACTTCTTGGATCTGGGGGGAAGGGAGCCTGTTGCAAACCGATCCCCGGCCAGAGGATTGCAGTGAGGTCCCGGCCTGAGAGCAGCTATCCTCACGCGGTCGCCCAACCTACTTCCTCTCTGACGCTCCTCGCTTCCTGAACAAGGCGACCGGCGCCCTGCCAGGGTCCCGCGAGGACTCTGGAGGGGAGGACACGCCGGGGCCACGGAACGACTTCAGATAGTCTGCGACAAAGTGGTGCGGTTTGTCTGCGACAAAGTGGTGCGGTTTCCCGGGGCAGCAGATCCGTGCGGGACCATCAGCGCGGGCAGTCCGGGAGGAGAAGTGTAGGGGCGGGGCCAACCCGGAAGGCCACGCCTTCCTCTCCCCGCCCTCTGCTGCTCTACGTGCCTAAGGGAGGCTCTTCACCCAGGGAGGAGCCACACAAGTGGGAGCCTGTCCCTTTAAATGTCCCGGTAGGAGGCTGCGCAGGCGAAGGCTTCCGGGAATGCGCACTGTGGCCCACGGGAGGACCGCTTTCTCTCGGAAGCGAGGTAGAGCCGGCAAAGTCTAGTGGGATGCTGGGTTACGCGTGGGTGTGAGCCGGCAAAGTCTAGTGGGATGCTGGGTTACGCGTGGGTGTAAGAGTGGTGGACGTGGAAGACCGGATGCTGGTGGCCCCGAGAAGGGCGACATGGACAGGGGTGGCGCGGGACCGGGAGTGGGGAGGAAGGCGTGGCGGCCGCCGGCGGGAGCAGGGTCGGGGCTGAAGATCTCCAGGGCTGGGTCCCCCACAGCCTTGGCTCGCCCTGAGGAGCAGCTGAGGAGCTCCTGCCAGCCTAGCCCGCGCCCCGCGGTTCGCCCGTCTTTGCGTCCGCTGCTTGGCTGAAATGCCTTCGTCGCTGTCACTGCAGTCCCCACGTGTAGCCTAGACTGTCTTTATATGTTCTTTCTTTTCCTAGAATCCCTAGGGATCTGGAGTCCTGTGGACCCCTGTGGGCTTGGTCACAGCTGACTGCTGAGTTCCATCAGTCATTTTAGAAACACCTCTACTAGGCAGATCCCAACTCTTGACAGTTCAGTACTTTTCATAGGATGACTTAAGCTGTATTCTTCAAAACTGCTACCCTGTTCCCTCTTCCCACTGCTCTGGGCCGCTTTTTTTTTTTTCTCCCTCCCACATATTTCCCGTTTTGTTTGTACTTGCATGTGGTATTTCTGCCCCACTTCTGTCTCTTGAACTATTATCAAAGACTTAATTTATTATAATTAATTTATTATAATTTATATTATAATATATATTTTATATATAATATATTATATAATAAATTTATTATAATAAATGGTAATTTATTGTACCATTTCTGATTATCACAAACAAAAGCTAACTCTTCCTTCTTCCTCATCCCTATAACAGCTCTTACAATGTTCCAGTTGTTTTTGTCCAACAACCGATATTGATTGCAGATCTTCTATGGTCATCTATTATGCACTTGGTGCTATTCTAAATGTGGGCTAATCAGTATTGAATGAGGTAGAATTCCTGCCCATGTGGAATTGACACTGACTTCAAGAAGATGGACAGTAAATAATAAAAACATTTGCTGTACAGAAAATTAAATCGGTTTTTTTTTTTTGAAAGAAAATGGCTTGCTGGTTCCCATAGATTAGATTATTGGTCAGTGCAAACCTCTGAGAATGTGAATCCTAAAAGATTGAGCAGGAAATTGCCCCAAAGGTAGTGAGGAGAGCCTTTAGAGAGTGTAACCGTGGTTTAGAGGTAATGGGGTAAAGACACGTCACACTGCAGAATAGACAGGGCACAAAATCTCAGGGTAGGTAGTTTAGACTTTGTTGTAAAGGTAACAATAGGGTTTTTGAACACTTGTGGTACAGTTTACCTTTTAATACAGTGTCTTGGGTGTTACCCATAGTAGATGATAGTTGGCTAGACAGAAATAGTCAAAAGGCTGCCACAATGCCTAAGAATTTGGGAGTTGGAACTGTTGAAGAATGTCAAAACAGGTTTGATGAGGAAATTGATTTCTATAGGTGGTAACATTTTTGGTGATGAGAAAGTAAGAATGAGAAGAGTGGATGGCCGAAACAAAGGGGGCCAGAGGCTACGGAGGGGGCCAGAGGCTGCGGAAGAGATTGCGGGAATGTGGGATGGGGCTAGAAACATGATCCACGTGGGTGACCGAGAGGATCTGCTCAAGAGGATGGAAGTCTCAGTGAAGGAGTTCCCAGAGACGAGGTGGGAAGATGGTAAAGCCCGGGATGAGATCTGCAAAGGAACCGAGGTAGAAGGGAAAGACCTGTTTGGAAAGATCAGTGTCAACAAACAGGTAATGTTATTCTAGTCTCCAGATCTAAGGTACATGGGTTGGAAGAAAAAAAAAATGTGCACCCTCCTTTCCCAGAAGAAGATGGATTCGGTTAGGGCGTGGAGTGCAGGGACGGCGGGGAATTTAACAGTTAAAGAAAATAAACGTGGAAATGGTGATAGAGAGTATTTGTTGCGATTTGTTCATGGCCCAGTGGAAAGGACCAAGGAGGGCGGATGTTTGCTAAGTCGTTTAGATTAAGATGACAAAGTACTTGGAAAGTATGGGAAAAGCAAGCGCCAAGCAGTGAAGCTACTTCCCACAGCCCCGTGCGTGATGGTGCTGGTGGTGCCTACTGTGGGGTTCCTGGTAGAATTGCTCTGGTGCCACCGTTCCAAGAAAACTCAATGATGATGGTTTCCTTTCTCTGATGCCGGTGATTCGGTAGAAATATCCTCTCATCAGCTTGAGATTTTTGTGTCTTTCCTATGGGGAATTTAGAGAAAGCTGGAGGACCAGGACTGACTTTAGTCTTTCTTTATGTGTCTGAAGAACTACTCACACCTATTCACTGTCGACTTTTCTGTCTTGCTCTTCCTCATGATCTAACTTCCAATGTATAAAAATACTACTGCTACGTGTCTCTGTGTAGTGAGGAGCGGCGGGCAGGCCTGCTTTTCGTCCCGCCCTGGTCCCGCACGGCTAGCTTAGCCCCGGAAATAACAACACACAAATTGTATTCATTTAAACACTGCCTGACCCATTATCTCTAGAGAGTTAGTTACTGACTAACTCTCACATCTTGATTAACCCATTTCTAATAATCTGAGCAGCACCACAAGGTGGTGGCTTACCGGGAAAGATTCAGCATGTCTGACCTGGTGACTGGCTCCATGGCGTCTGTCTCATTGCCCTCTTCCCAGCATTCTGTTCTGTTTACTCCGCCTACTTAATTTTCTGTCCTGTCAAAGGGCCAAGGCAGTCTCTTTATTAACCAATGAAAATAACACATAGACAGAAGGCCCACCTACATCATCTCTGGAATTAGCTCCAGGAGATCTCGAGGCTCCCTGGGTGACAATCACTATAAAAACAAACCTATTTTCTTCTCTCTTCTCTATGGGCCTAAAGGTACTACTTTTCAGATGAACTTGAGACTGACCCATTTTATGTCTTTTTAAAAAAATTTAAACATTTTTAATCCATTAACTTTGTTATAATGTGTTTTCTGTGTAAGTATGCATGTGTGCCACAGGTGTGCCTGGTGCAGCAGAGGTCAGACAAAGGCAGCGGATCCCCTGGCATGGGAGTTCGGGATGGTTGTGAGCTGCCGTGTGGGTGCTGGGAGCTGAACTGAGGTCCTCTGCAAGAAGAAGTTTGATTGACTGCTGAGCCATTTCTCCAGCTTAAAATTGAGTCATTTTAATTCTAGATAATAGAAGCTTAGATTGAATGGGAAATCAAGATACAAATCACTCCTTTGGTCACAAATTAGTTAGACAGTTAATTCTGTGTGCTGTGTGAAAGTGGGATATACACCTATAGCCATAAAGTAATTTATTAGTGCTTTTTATGAACCACAGAATTAAGAGGAAGACAGCTGAGTGGATGTTACAAACCAATTTCATTCTTACCTGTGTTCCTGTTTTGTTTCTTTTGTAGGCACTGTTAAGAATGGAAGAGGACACAGATGATGGAGTCAGGTTTAGTTCCTTATGTTTCGTTAATGATCATGTTGGATTCCAGGGCACTATAAAAGCCTCCCCAGGTGACTTCATTGTTACCGAGATTGATGAACAGGGACAATTAGTCAGTAAGGCCATTGGTGAATCTGTTTCTGAAATTAGTAAAATACAATCCGAGCCAAGTCATTTTGTCAAAAAGCCAAAGCTAAATAGTCAAGACGTATTCTTAGAACATGAAGGCGACCAAGACGTTGCTAACTTGCCTGGGTACACCAATGGTGACCAGAGTTGCCAGTCTGGCTCGGATGAAGAAGACAGTGTCAACGGCGTGACCTCGAAATGTGAAAAAGAAAATGTTGACTTACTGAGTTCACTTTTAGATGAAAAAACTCATACGTTGCTGGAGCAGTTTGCCTGTGATGTCCAAGGGATGTGGAAGTCAAAAACCGAGTCAGTTGAGCCATCTCTGGAATTCTCACTAGGGAGGATCCTTGAGAAAAGCCAAAGGGCTGTCTTACACAGTGCCGTGAGGCAGACATTTCCTTTTTTAATAACCGTAGGAAAAAACAGTGAAATCCTTGTAAAGCCAAACCTGGAGTATAAAGAACTCTGCCATTTGGTATCTGAAGAAGAAGCACTTGGTTTTTTCAAATATTTGGATGCAAAGAGAGAAAATTCCACGTTCACCTTTCAACCGGATGCCAGCAAAGATCACAGGAAAGCTGTGCACCATTTTCTCAACAAGAAGTTTGGAAACCTCGTGGAAACCAAGTCTTTCCCTGAGCAGAATCGCAGTGCTGAGAATCCAAACACAGCCATAACCGTGAGGTTCCGGGCGAAAGCGCGCACACGTGGGAAGAGAGCTCGTCATGACTGCGAGAGAAGGAAAGCTGTATATACAGGTAATTACGTAAATCATCGTTTTCTTGTGTAAAATTTGTGAAAGGTGAGGAATTTGAATAGATAGGCCTGGTCATAGAACAATTGTGAAGGACATAGGAACTGAATATTTAGAGAAAGACGAAGCCTTGCAAATTATGCAGAATGTGAAAATTAAGTACTTAAGTATGGATAATAAAGGCATTTACAGCCAACAGTCACAAATGGATAGAGTTGAAGCCATTGTTTTGTATTTGAGTGGTTTCGAGAGTATTAATTTTTCTGTTTTCAGGATAATCTCACCTATAATTATTTGGCGGTAAGATGGGTATATTGTCATCCTCGGGAAGGGGCAAGAATGCTCTGTAGTGTATGGGGCCCGCACACTTGACTCATTAGGCATCCCGCACATGCTCAGGGTTAGCAAGCATTGTGATTGCTCGGCATGTTG